ATGCTGGTGTCAGAGTGGCCGATGTCAGACTTTGCGATTGGAGCGATTGTGCACAAATTGCAGGAGCGACGGATCGCTTGAGCAATCCATCGCTGCGAGCGACGGGAGATTTACATGGCCGACCAACGATAATTCGGCGCCATCAGCTCGTAAATGTCCCGTCGCTCGCAGCTCCCTGCCACAACGGCCAAGGCACTTATCACGGCCCGAGCGATCCATCGCTCCAAAGTGCGAGCGACGGGAGATTTACGAGCTGGTGGCGCCGAATTATCGGTGGTTGGCGGTGTAAATCTCTCGTCGCTCGCAGGTTGCGTCTCCGCTGCAGGAACCTCAGGTCCGATGTTCCCGCAGCGAATCACCAGTGGACCCGAGATTCTCGCAACGAACAATGTTTCGTGCTGCGAAACGGGAAAAGTCGCTTTCTGTCCTAGTGAACGACATCCGCATTATTCACGTCACTAATCCACACGTTTGAAAAATACACAAGATAATCACCAGTTCGGCCTCACGAGCGGCATAGTATTTTCTGGCCTCTTCAGCTTCCGCTTCAAATCTTGCTTTCAACACCTTTTTCAGGTTTTCGGCCTAAAGACAAAGCTTTCAGAAGGTAGAAGCGCATCACGAAATAGACACCTGCTGATTACCAAAAAAAAAAAAACAAAATTAATCAATTTACACGTTCAAGAGCCGGCTTCAGCAATGCAAACACAGTCTTCTTCTCTTGCCCTCCAAAAGTGTTGAATTCAGGATGCTTTGGTAGCTCTTCTATGGTGAAGCTATAAGTAATAGGAATGAAGATCAATAGACACTAAAGAAAAGGAAAATATTCCTCAGAAAGTAAGCGCATTAGATCAAAATAGAAAGATATATAATAACATATTTTTATATCCGCTCAAATCTCCGACCGTTGCTGTGATCAACTGAACGCAGATCCCTCAAGCAACAAAGCGCAAAGGAAAACTTAGGTGGAGCTCAAAAATTTTGGATTCAAAAAGAACTAGCGCAGCGGAAGTTGAGTACTGTCTCAGCCTACCAACACCAAGAATGATTATCCATATTATTTATGTGAGTCCAGATTCGGCTTTCCGCAACCTAGGGACCTGTCTTTTTCTGTGCCAGCTTTCCGCCTCCCAATGCTCACTTCTAGCCTGGATGTGATTAGTTCGTCGAGCGGATGCGCATGAAAATAAGGATATCTTTCAGAGTAGAGGGTCCTAAATCACGACATCATGTTAGAAACAAACCTCAACACATCTAAGCCTTAGGTTGGTTTTTTTTCTTCTTACACGGAGCTGGAAGGAGGCGAGGAGAAAGGTGCAGGGGTGGGAGGAACCACCCCTGCACCTTTCTCCTCGCCCCCTTCCAGCTCCGTGTAAGAAGGTCGGAAGTGTGCTCATTGCATTTTCATATAACCTTTGAAATGTGTCATCACAACCATAACATCACAATGAAAGGACATCGCAACACTGACCTATGCACGGTTCACAAGCTACAACTCTACGATTGCAGTCGACTTGTAGCATCTTAAACGAACATGGACACGTCACCTTCAAACCTTTACCTAGCTGCTAATAAATTGATCAAGTTACCTGCAAAATCGTATCAGTAGGATGAGGGCCCTCTCAAGGTCCTGGTTTTTCATGTAAGACAAAGCCATACGATGCGCCTCTATCATACTTCTGTAGTACCTAAAACACTTCTCAGACATAATTGACCAAAGTCAAAGATTCCAACACATTGCTAATAAAGAACCTCCTTGCAAGAGAATAGAAAAACTTCACCTCACGATTGGGACAGTATTGCTGACCTTTTGAGGCTTTCCTAGAGCTACCAAAGTCGACATTCTTTCAGCAACGTTCATCTTATCCATGAAGTTGTCCTGCACATGTCCGTCCATAGTACTACAGAAGAAAGTAAATCACACATGAAGAGGAAGTGTGATGCTATAGACAACAACAAGAGCGAGATTTGCCAATAAAAACATCTAGATGTCATTAAATTATTTTGAATTTCGATACAAGATGAAACAAAGTCAGCGATGATGATTAAAAGCAGGTTTCCTATGTGATCCAAAGATCGGACGATCTTTGATGCACTGCTTCGCTTAATAACGTCGTGCTTCTTCCACATTAGGTCAGACGTTTGACAAGCATAGAATATAAGGACAACTGCTACTTTGATGTGAGAGAGCAAGAGTGGAACAAACTTCACAAGGAGCTATAAAACATCTGGCTATTGACGTTATCCATCACATTTACTCGATAATCATCTATATGACCTGGATATCACTCAAGAATAACCGCATCGATTAATCGAACCAACATACTGAATCATTTTCCCCCAACATTTTCTACCCTTTAAAGAAATGCGTTCACTTCAAGGTTATGCGCAGAATAAGAAATTCTACCAAGACACCCACATGTATTCGAGAGTACTGGAAAAGTAAAAGTCGTTTAACTCATGGGCTGCCACCGCGTGAATGTGTTAGACGTTCTTGTGGTGTTGGTCGGTCAATCGCAAGCTCCGTCAAAGCAAAGAAACAAAGCGCTTCCGTGGAGCTTGGCGCTTCCGTGGCGC